CTAGAATGGAGAAAAAGAAAAACAAGGCAGAATAAAAACTATTGCTTTAAAAAAAAAATTGGTTCAGCCACTTAAAAACGAAGAAGATAAGAGTTAAGTCTAAAACCAATTTTTATCTTCAATTTAGTAACTCACATTATTTCTGCACTGATTACACAGCCTACCCAAGTTTAATTCACTATCTGTTACACTAAAATTGTGATTTTGACAATTTTGTCTCATGGTGAGTTTTGGAATTTGTTACATAATTCTTAAGTGGAAACCAACCAGGCTAAGTTTAAGAACCTCTATATTAAAGCAATGGGTAAGCACAAGTACAGTTAAGCACAAAGTGTTTTCATTATAAAACCTTCATTTCAGGATCTCTTTTCTTCTTTCTAAAACTTCCACAAATTGGGAAATGAAACTCAATGTAAGAGTCCCAGACATGAAATAATTTTAATGACACAGAAAGGAAATTATCTCCTTTAAAAAAAATTCCAAAGGCTATTTTTGAGTAGGATTATGATTGAGGATGGTTCCATGGGTATCAGGAATGCATTTTCCATTTTCATTCATACATATACCTCTACCTGTACATAATAGGACCATAAAACTGAAGGAAAATAAAGTACCTTCATACACAGCATATGCTCAATAAATACTTAGAATTAGTGGATAGTTTGCTAACTTATAAATGGCTTGGCATGGGCTTTTATAAAATATCCAAGTCCTGGTGTGGTGCTGTTGGATAAGCACTGGACTGCTAACTACAAGGTTGGTGTTTCAAACCCAATAGCTCCTCCCTGGAAATCCTTACAGGGCTGTTATGAGTTGGAACAACAACGAGTCTACATAGGAGTTTAGTAAGTGTTGGGACTGAGTCCATTAGAGACTGGACTCAGTTCACGCAGCTTATCTCTTTCACTTTCTATAAGTCAAGATAAGAAAAAATTCTATTTGACGTGACAGAAAATAATAGCCATTTATGCATTATGAGTCAGAACTGACTTGATGGTACTTTTTAACAACAATTCATATAATTATTCTTATATTCTGAGATATATAAAATATTACCCTGACACAGATACACCAATTTATAAGTCAATCATTTTATATTCTAACAAAGTGTTTTTCAAACTATGAGTCCAAATAGATTTAGTGTGCCAAGATCAGCATTTTAAGAAAATGAAACAGAATTGAATAAAAAACATTATAAGGCCCTGTATATCACAGGGGAAGGGCAGGTATTGTTTCATAAGACTTTTCAGTTACACTTATATATCTATGTTCGAATTGAGTTGTACTGAAATTGGATTTTCTATTACACGTTACTATGATGAAAGCATGACAGTCACTGCTTTAGAGGTGGCATGAGAAGGAAAACACACCTTGGAATTAGTCAGACGTGTTTAGAATCATAGCTACTAGTTAAGTGATCTTTGATAAGCTATCTTTTTCAGCTTCAACTTTCTCATGTGTAAATAGAACCAGTACTGAAACATTAAGATTTTGGTGAGAGAATTAAGAGAAAATGTCACATGCTTCACACTATGTCTGGTACACAGTTAGTGTTCTTTGCTGTTAAAATTTTCGCCATCAATTTCATCATAAAGTTTGAAAAACAAGTGACACAAATAGCCAAAACAATATATCTAGAAAGTACAGACAGGCTGAATTTTGTTAATTGCATTCAGAGAGGCATACAGCACACAAAGTAACAGTATACGTCTTCATCTACATAGTATGTTACCCTAGAATGACTATAAGGGCTGAAAAAATTATCTTAATAGCTTCATTTCTGGAACTATAACAAATATTATTAAAATCAGGAACAAAAACTAATCACACATTTAAAAAAAACCAATTTCCTCAATAACTATGCTGAAATATTAACACTTGAAAATAAACTTTTCCCCCCAGTAGTTTATTCAGAGTAAAAACATGAAAATAATATCCTAAGTGTAGACAAAATCATTCTCTTGAATGTCACTGTTGTTAACAGTGCCATCAAGTCGGTTTCTGAGGAATGGCTGGTGAGCTTGAACTACCGATCTTGTAATTCAAACTTATTTTGCAGCCCAGCGCATTAAACCACAGTGCCACACCAGGACTCATTTCTTGGTTAGGCAAAAGCAATTAATTCCTTCACTAAATATGCACTGAATACTTATCATACTCCAGGCACTGTTCAGGCCTGGTATTATAAGTAATGAAGAAGAAACAGTGCTCTGGAATGTTCTCTCTGTGCTCATGGAAAATTTGACAAAGAAGCTGAAGTATGATGATGTTAACTAAACATCTTGCCCTAAATAATTCCAAACTGAATAGAACATGAATTAGCTACTTTCAGGTCATCAGTTTATTTGAAAAAAAAAAAAAAAACATGATTATCTTTCTATATTTTTAATTACTTGCAAAAAAAAAAAAAAAAAAAAAGGATTTTTTTTGGGGGGGGGGGCAATGCCAGCTATACATTCAAATTAGTTTAAAGTATTCATATTTTAAATTTATATCCATCTAAAAATAAGCAATTGAAAATGTTTTTTTTTTCTAAAGCAGGACTTAAAAAATCATATGTATATATGTATGTATATAATTTTTGAAAAAATATACTCAAAGAAAACTGAATGAAACAAAATGTTCTAACAGCTATAGCACAATGGTATAGATATGCCTAACTCAAGCCATAGTCTTTTCAATGGCTTCATATGCATGTGAAATCTAGACCATGAATAAGGAAGATGAAAGAAGAATTAATATGTTTAAAGTTATGGTGTTGGCAAATAATACAGAATATACCATAGACTGCCAGAAAAATGAACAAATTTGTCTTGGAAGAAGTACAATCAGAACGCCCTTAGACATTCTCAGGAGGGACTAGTCAATGGAAAACAACATCATGGTTGGTGAAGAGGGCCAGCGAAAAAGAGGAAGACCCTTGACAACATGGACTGACACAGTGGCTGCAACAATGGGCTCAAAACCAGCAAAGACAGTGAGGTTGCAGCAAGACGGGGCAGCATTTTGTTCTGTTGTACACAGACAGGGCTGCTGAGGTGCAAATGACTCAGTGGCAGCCAGCAACATCATCGACAGACATTCTTCTCTCAATACGCTTTCTGTACTTCCTACATTTCTATGATGTACTACTATAATAATTAGAAAAAATTATTTTCTAAAAACCAAAGTTATCACTTACACTAAATATAATTATAGGCACATTATAATAGGCATTACTGAAACAGCTTCAGAACACTTTTCATTTCAAACAATCCAAAATACATTTCAAAAGTATGATGGTGTACCTAAAAATAGTCTCTAAATGATCAGATGAAGAATAAAAGATAATTTATTTTTAAATGAGTCACTGTGCTCTCATTTCAACTATTTTGCTCACTTTCTCAGTTAACATATCTAATAATGTAGCCTTCAAAAGACAGATTATTATAATGTGTATTAAATTAATATATTAATAGCATAATATTTTCTGGAAATTATGGAGTCCTGCAGTACTCATATTAATATTTTCTAACACTTTTTTCCTTTTTCTCAAAGAGTTTATTAAGAATAAAACATTAAACATGTATATGATCAAGTAAAAAAATGATTTCCTCAAATTTTTCCTGATTTCTTCACATTTTTCAGAGCATAACTCTATGCATGACAAGGTCAAGATTTAAGTGACAGGAAAAGCTCAAGGTATTTATTTGATTTCCATCCTTAGTGATAAGGAAAAGGAAAGTTGTTAAAGTGCATGTGTGTAAAACTGAGGCAAACAAAGCTGTAAATAGCTGTAATTCTAATTTTAAACAAACATAAAAATGCAACAATTTCTTTGGTAGTAGTTAAGGATTTCAAGGATCTTGCCCCCTTTGCTTACCTGCATTTTCTGGGTTTCCTGTAATAAATGCTATTTTTATTCTTCCTTAGCAGAGAAATATAATTAAGAATGTTAAATAAATTAAACATCTGAAAAAAAAGTTTTTATGTTTAATTTTCTCTAATGATTAGGAATACGTTCTGCTGGCTAAAGAGGAAAAACATAATTCTTCCTGCAAAAACTATTAAAACGATAATTGATAACTTATTATGGGCCCACAATATCTTAGTCACAATTCTAAATATCAACAACTCTAAAATGAAGTATTGATTCCATTTATACATGGTGAAGTTCATTTGGTGGTAAGCCCTGATGTAACAGGAAGCAAAGCTATTTATAATATTTATTTTACTTAGTGTGAATATTATCTTTTGCTGCCAAAATATTAATGCCCAAAATCCTGTTGATGCATTCACATATAGTATGCACATTTTTCTAAAATCTGAAAAATCTGAATTCTAATACATGTTTGGCCCCAGAGGTTTCAGATAAGAGACTTGTACCTGTATTAGGGCTCCCATGTAAACTTATATGTGATGTAACTTCATTAGTCTTATGAGTGAAACAAAACTATTATATTTTATGTTGAATCATTAGCCATTTAACAAGATTAAAAAATTAATCCTCAATTTAAAAATGGTAACTTTTTTTGGCTTATTTAAGAACCAAAGGACTCCACATTCAGTACGTCTATGCCTACACTTCCCTCTATTAAACACAAATAACAGCAGGCTACTATAGAAACTACATAGCAGAACCCTTAGGTCATAAAAGAAGAGTTCAGTCATGAAAACTACAATATCATTTATACTAATAATTTTGAAAAGAAAGTTAAAAACTCTTAAAAATGAAAACACAGATACAGAATCTCAAAGCATTAGTTTTATGTTTCCCTAGTATGCTAAAGTGTAGTGCTGTAGCTAAGCATTGGACCGCAAGGTCAGTGGTTCAAAACTCACCAGCTGCTCCTCGGAAGCCCTATACAAAGTTACTATGAGTCAGAACTGACTCAACAGATTTAACAATAATATGCTAAGAAATGAATAAATAAAACAAAAAATTCAGGAAGAAAGAAGAAAAGAAAGAATTCATTTATTTATTAAGAAGGAATACTGATATTTTAAAGATAGACATTCACCTTCTTTGGGTTGAGCCATAACTGGAGTCTGGGTTTCCTTTGTATATGTAACAATTTCTCGAGGAGGAAAGTCAACTTGTGTAATTTTAGCCATTCCAAGTTTAATGGGTCCTCGTCTAAATAAAGGGAATACAAATGTTTTAAAATACAACAAATGATATACTTTAACTACATCAAACCATGTTATTTAGGAAAATTAAGAATTAAACATTCATGCATATCCAACACTGTAATTTAAATCCTTGTTTTATTCAAGAAATTTTTAATGAACTGGCTTTATTTTAACACAAGAATTAGAAGGTAAAAACAAAAGGCATTTCTGAATCATTCAGGGTGTTTACATTTCACTTTAAAAGGGAAATAATTGAGTTTCTTAAAGCAAATGTGTAGGCGATACTAGAACAAGAGACAAGAATTTCAAAGTGGACTGTTGACTATAATTGGTTTTGAGAACTACTTTTAAGAGTGATACAACTATGGACTTTTTGACCGAATCTTGTTTCCTTCACTATTAGCAGAAATTAGCTTGAAGACTGAAAACCAGATTTCTACTTCTGGTTGAAAACAATTTTAATTTACTTTTTATATTTGGTAGAAATTGGACTTAAAAGTGAAATATTTAAACATTTTAAATCTCTAGTCTCTGTGTAGTCAATATTGTCTTTGATTTGTATATGGAAAATCTATGGTGCAAATATAATTTAACCTAGACTAAAGCAACAGTCACTTTGACTATCATAAAGCTATTAATGTTACTTCTGTTTTAGTTAAAGAGAGAGAATACTTCTTTTTTTGACAAGTAGAAGAAATAGAAGGATTATGGTTGAGGAAATGGACCAAAAGAAAAATCAGTTTTTATGAGATATCTGTGTGATCTTTTTTCGGTCTTTATATTAGATGTTCAAATTCTACACCAAATAAAGTATGCTTCCAAACTCCCATAAAAATTTTTAATAATGAAGCTGATAAAAAACACATTCAAAGAATTAGATGGGAGATGCTAAGTAACATTTGAAAGAATCTGATATTCTAAGAATAACATTTTTACAGAAGCTTTATATTCTGATTTTTAAGCAGTAAACAGAATGAAAGGCAGATCACTCACATATCTGGAAAAGAATGATTAAGACCAAATCACTGACTTGATTGCACTGAAGGTCTCGCAGACATAATCACAGTATTCAAACAAACAAACAAAATATCATAAGATTTATGGGTTGGAGGGTAGGGAGAAAATATCTCACTTATCCAATAGCCACTTTTATTGAAAATAAGGAAGCAATGGGGGAGAAAAGCCTCAGGGTAGCCAACAGAGAGAGGCCTTCCAGTTAGTGTATTAGAAGCTCATATACTTTTCTTTTCTTTTATATTATAACTCTACTTAGTTACTCTTGCTTTAAGCACAATTCCAATAGGTATGGTCATATGTTTCAGAAGCTGAAAATTATCACAGGAAATAAACTAGTTGAGTCAGGTACAATGGCAGCAACAAACATTCATAATTTGCATTGGAGTTTAGAATATATGAATGAATAAACAAGTAAATCAGGAGTTGTTGTATACAGAATAATATCTCTGCACCTCTCAAAACCTTATAAATTACAGGTAATTTTTAATATAGAAAAAAAAGTACAATTTTTATTAAGTAATCCAGAAAATGTTCAATTATATGTAGAGTATATATTATAATTCATCTTGGAAATTTATAATATATTTTTGATATACTTACATAGACAATACAGAAATAGTAAAGGAATTTGGGCACTAAATGGATAAACTTAGGACACCTAGAAAATGACACATGTACAATACTTCATTCATTAATGATAAAGGATAAATGAGGTGTCACAGTGAAATATAACAACTTTTTTTTCCCTGACTATATACTACATATTAGGAAATTAAGCAAAAATAAAATTAGGACAGTTTTTCGAAGAATCAAATTAACTATAAAAGAGGGAAGGTAATAAATCTATTCAATACCCCAAATCGGAATCTGAATGAAGTTGAAGAACTGATGGATCTGTATCCCAATGCAGCGTCCTAAATGGTTGTAGGGCAACCATGAAGCATTAGCAAAAAAGGCCATAGTTAGTTAAGCAAATACATTCTATGAATAGTTAATGCTAAAATACTGTTTACAATTAAAAACCACGTTTTTGTTAGTAAGGAAAATAAAACAAGTATCACTCAATGTTTTAGTGCATGCACTAGGTATAATAAGGTTACAGACATATGCATACAATCCAGAATAGTAAAAAGACTTAGTGCGTATTTTCAGGTTATGGGAAACTAATATTGTATAATGGATAAGGACAACTAAAGCAGCTAACAACCCAAATGATGCATTATTTATAGACCATCACAAGCTAGGATATAAAAATATAAAAAGTTTAAGTTTCCCAATTGAAAAAAATTAGTAAAAAAATCTTGGTTAACATATTGTAATTTGCCCAAAGCATTAAATGTGTGCAGGAAATTGTCATATTGGTAAAGGAAATGAGTCAACACATAAGCCTTTCGGTAAGAAAACCAAAGACTATTCCACTGGGATACAAAATGGCTAAAGTTTCCAAAATGTGACCCTTCTGTAATTTATGGGTTAAGCACTGCCTTGGGCTTACATGTCATCTGCTTTAGAAAGCAACTAAAGACTTCTGTCTCTAGGAAAAAATGCATTTTTCTCTGGAAAAATATTTTATGTTTTAAAGGATTAATTTAGTTTTTAGGAGACTATCAATCCTAAATAAATGATCCACTTGTGTTCTGACCTTTCCTACTGGGTAAACAAAATACACAAGGTCTTCTTCACTTAAACCAAATTCAGTGATTACTAGAACAAAAGGCACTTTTTCACACTGGCATTCTAATAGGTTAGCAAACATAAAAAATTACCGTATAATGCTTTTAGTCCTATAGCAAAAGTTAAGGACAATACATTTAGTGCTACCATTTTTTGTTGAATCTACTTGCTGTTTACTTACATAAGATACAAATTTTAATATACAACTGAAACTGCCACAATATTTTAGTACAACAAATGATTTCTCTATTTTACCAGTGTATACAATTTATCAATAAACAATTGTTTGAATCAAACTAGATAAATTCTTCATTTAAGAATATAAAGAAAAATCCACAGGATTGCATGTAAGCAATGAAAAAGTTAAACTGAAGATCTACTTTGTACTAAGTAATGAGCAGCAACAAACTTAGGCTTTGTTAAAGCAGAAGGGATTCTATGAGATGGTCTCCAAGGAATGTTCTGTCCATAGCGGTTACACTGTTTGAGAGCCCTAGCTGTTATCAATGACATAAGGCTCCTTGTGGAAGATGCCATTTTAGTTTAAAATCAAGAAAGACGTCAAAATACAGGCAATACATTGAAGAACATATGTGATTATAGTTATTAAATGTATTGCCGACATACAAAGTAAAATTCCAATATAATCAGAAAGCCTGGAAAATAAACTGATCAAGAATAGAAAAAAGGAACAGGAGCATTGGGATCTCCAATTGAATAACTGTCACTTAAAGTCCTGGTGTGACACTGCAGGAGAAGCACTGACTGCAAGGTCAATTTGAATCAGCCACTCCTTGGAAACTCTACAGGGTTGCTGTGAGTTGGAACTGACTCATAGCATATAAGTGGCACTTAATAACAACAACAACAAACTTTAGAGATGACAAGTGATTGAGAAGATGAACTAAAAACTTAACGAAACACAACTTTCTAATTTGTAAAGTTAGTGAAATACCACATCTCATTGCCCTTTATGCTTATTCATAAATTACAACCAGGACCAACAGGAATTCTTGGCACTCAGAAATCGTGATTTGGACATATTTAGATAACATATAAGGTAGGTAATGTCTAAACTATCTTTTCTTACTCTATAAGTGTACTAATCCTAGATTGTCTAGGCCAAGAAATGAGGTTGAATGTATAGGCTCATATATCTCACACACATTTTCCGGTGATTTTTTTTTTCCCCCCCTCTTTATTCTTTCACTGCTATCATGTCTGGTGAATTCAAGCTCATTCTTCCTTATTCTTAGACTCTAGTAGTCTTTAAAATGCCATGTAACGTTAATGAGCTCTGGTAACGTAGTGGTTGGTTACAAATCGGGCTGCGAACCACAAGCTCAGCAGTTTGAAACTACCAGCTGTTCCGCAGGAGAAAGATGAGGCTTTCTGCTCCTGTCAAGATTTACAGCCTCGGGAACGCTATACAGGGTCGCTATGAGTCGGAACCGACTCCACAGCACATAACCACCACCAATTAGAATGTTGGAGTCCAGGTGTGGTGCCATAGGATAAAGCACTGGACTGTAAGGTTGGTCTGAACCACAAAGTAGGTGGTTCAAATTCACCAGTTACTCCTTGGAAACCCTATATAGGGTCCTAGGAGTCAGAACTGACTCAATGGCACTTAACAACAACAATCTGAAATGTTATTATTTAATTGCCAATATCATCATCAACAATACTGATTCTCTCTCCACTAGAGAATCTGGAAATGATTCTGTGGAATTGTTTTACACACACACACACAGAATACACTCAGTTCTCTTGAAAATTAGTGTTTCAAATAAGTCTATGCTCTCATAGGAGATAAATCATGGTGTATTAAGATTAAAAATATACAAGGTCAACTCTTTCAAGATGAAGGTTTTTTTTTTTTTTGGTCTTTTGTTAAATGCAGGAGAAACTGTATTTTTAATTTTAAAGAAACTTTATTTCATTTTCTAATAAGATCATATCCTCTAAGATACTAAATCACCAGTCTTAAACTTTGTCATTTAAAAAAATCTACATCTACACTTACAATTTTTCAACAAAATGAGTTACACCTGTAATGACAAAATCACTAGAATATAAGTTCTATGAAGGCAATAACTTGTTTTTTAACGTTTTATTGTGAAAGTTTACATGGGAGAACATTAGTTTTACATTCATGCTATCCTACATTGTTTCATTGCCATGGTTACAATCCCCTCCATGCATCATCAACCAACCAAAGGGTATATCCTGCAAGCCTCACTCCCAGCCATCAGCACACAGGCCCTCTCCCTCTCTAGGTCTAAAGTCCCCAGCTGCTCCATCTCTCCACGTCATCATCCCTGCCTCCTTCTCTGGCATCACTGCTTCTCTGGGTAGGGTCCCACTCTTCGCTCTTCTCCTTTTATAGTCCCAGGGATCTCTGCTCCTAGACTGCAAAGTCAATCACTCCCCTCCTTTGCTACAAAATGTCTATCTTTACATTTCCAACCCTCACAGTCAGTCCTGATAACAATTATTCACTATTGTATCACAAGAGACCTATCCACATCTCCTTTCATCAGCCCCACCTAGACCGATTGGATACTACTCAGTGGAGATTCTACCTTCCTCTGCGCCCTCTGGATCTAGGTTCCCTCTTGAAAGCTTGTAAGCCAGTCACTTCTTGCCTTTGTACACCCCCAATTTTGGGTAGCCAATGTCCAAGTTGCCTATCCCTGTCTACTCTGTGTATGGAGGGGGTGGGAGAACTTATTTTTTGTGCTAACAAAAGGTTAAGTTACTATATAGTAGATAGCAATTTGATGAGTATTTGTTCTATACATGAATAAATATTTTTATTTACTTCCTGTTCCATTTTATAATATGCCAAAGCAACTTTACTAATCTCTCTGCTACAATTCAGGAAAACATATTAATTTAAAAAATCAGGTATACATAATACATAGGAATTTTGAAAGTGAACCCATTAATATTACATTAAAATTAAAAAACAGAAACAATGAGTTCAGAAATGTATAAAATATAATATTTATATGAAACTAATGTATAAAACAAAGAAATTTAACAAATAGTCTTTTATTTGAGGAAAAATGTTATTATAATGTTACAAAAGTAAAAAAAAAAAAATCCTTCCGTTGAAAACAACCACTTACTTATTATTATCAAATACTAACATATTTATCTAAAAATATAGAATAAATTTAGTCCTAAAAATAAACTTAGATTAAGTAAATTTAGTCTTTATCTCTAACATATACTATTTTACAAAGTTATAACAATATTTTTAGAAAGAAAAAAATGACTTTAAAAAATAAAACATGTCATTTACCTCCAATAATAGTGATGATTAGATTGGTAATAGTTGTAAGTTGGGGTCTATAGACAGAACAGTTTTAGAAAGCATCTCTCAAATTTAAACTGGTGAGCCTTTGCACTTTCTATTTGTTCATCATGAAGTAAAGTATTGGGAGTCTTGGTGTGGTGCTGTAGGATAAAACAGTGAGCCACAAGGTCTGTTTGAGCCACAAGGTTGGCCATTCAAACCCACCAGTTGCTCCTTGGAAACCCTACACAAGGGCACTATAAGCTGGAACTGACTCCATGGCGCTTAAAAACAAGTAAAGTATGGAGCTTGTGAATTATCCAGCCTTGCTCTTTTTTTTTCTTGCCTTCTCTTCAGGATACTTGTTACTTAGTTTTCATTATTTATTTTCAGCTTTACTCAGAGGGTGTAGAACAAAAAAGAAAAAATGTCTATTAGCTTAATTCACTAATTCTTAAAAGGTACATTAAAAGATTTTGCTGAAGAGGACATTTAACTTACTGGCCCAAAATATGGGCTCCGAATCAGTTTTACAAAGAATAAAGCAGTAACACATTCCCTAATATAACTTTTAGAAGGAAGCTAAAATTTTACTGAATTTCTGAAAAGTAAGTATCAATATTTGTGCAGGCTCCTAAAACAAACCTAGTTTACAAGGAAGATGCAACTTCAGGAAAACTTGGCAGTAAGCACTTTCAGTGTTTCTTTAGCAATTATTTCTTATTCTTTGTATTTTACATATTATTATTTTTCTTAGTTAGAAAAACTAGTGATTTAATGGAACAAAATTAGACTGCTTAACTGAATTGTTTTGCTTTTCAACTACTGAATGGGTAATCAAATTAAGGATGGCAGAGAGGTTTTACACTACAACAGGATTTCAAAAGTTTGTGGAAAAATTCCCTAGCTTTTCATTCCATTTTTCACAAATTTTCTGAAGCCCCCTTGTTATCTACAACTAATAATTCACATAATAACCAATTATCAAGTATGTTTAGACAAGACAATTTCAAATACATCAATACCTCTAATTCTAATATAAATAATAATTAGCATAAAGTAGTTAACTATCAGTACTAAGCTCAAGTGTGATAATTAAAATATGGTAAAAATGTATTTTTCATAGATTACAACAGACAATAAATTAGCATAAAGCAGTTAACTATCAGTACTAAGCTCAAGTGTGATAATTAAAATATGGTAAAAATGTATTTTCCACAGCTTACAACAGACAATGTCTAAGTTAATTAGATTTCACAATGCTAGAACTAACTCAATATGACTTTTAAAGAATCCTTTTAAAGCATAGGCATTAATGCATTCTATCATTAAAACATTGAAAGAAAATTACTGTACCTAGATCCCACAGCACCATCTCCAGAGTCTTGGCTTCCAGCTTCACTTGGCGTGCTCACAGATTTGGAGGATGGAGACATAGGAGGAGGGACTAAATAGTGAAATAGACAGGTATCCGCTGTTACTACTCGGAGAGGTTGCTCAGCTTATGATGTTTCAAAAGTAATTTGACATGAAGTAATACAAAAGGAAAAAAAAAAAAAGGCAAACCAAAAACCAAAAATACATGAATGAAAATGAACAGTAGAAAGAAGAGGGAAAAGACAAAAGTTAACAATGCATGCGGAAGAGTCATGCACTTTCCTGGCAAAATGCTTATGGGCCACAGGATAAAAAAAAAAAAAAAAAAAAACAACCAACAACAACAAAAAAACAACCGCAGGACTGGAAGGATGCATCTTCATCTCAGCCACCAAATGTGGACCCTTATTTTCAAAGGAGAGCATTCCTTCTCCTTTAACTTATTATTTTTAAGATCACAGATCATCAGTATTTAAAGCTGCTGCCAAAATTAAGATTTGGAAATATGCTTAATTTACCCATTTAATCTCTGGTTTTCTGAGGTGATTTATAAATATTAATTTTTTGTCTAACAATTTCTTTTTAAAAATTAATGTTCAAAATAATTTTACATTCCCCATAGACACGAAAAGGCCAATTTAGAGAAAGGATTGTGGCTAAAGGAATGACTCCTCTAAAAAGTCCATTTGTTTCCAGCAATTTGGGTGAAAAAATGCAAACAGGCCATAAAACAGCATGCCTTCGAGACATGATGCATAACAAAAAGTGATGCATGCAACTTCAAGGCAAGACTTATGGTAACGTCCTTACCCCAGTATTCAGAAAAAACTGAAGTGTACAGACAAAGATACAGACACCCAAAATATTCTTAATCCCTTCTTATAGAAAAATACACATTTTTCATAGTATATAAAACAAACAGAACAAATGTATTCCCCTAAATGATCAACTTCTAACATTATATAATAGCAGGTGAACGTGCGTATTCCATGCTTTACATTTGTACAACTTTTTGATTACCACTGTGGGCAGTAAAGGAGGACCACCACTGCCACCTTCTGGTGAAATCTTACCAAATGTGTCCCCAAGCCCAAGAAGTTTTTAAAAGTAATTTTTTAATGTACAATATTAAATCACTAACATATTCGGAGAATCACTAATATATTTTGGGAGTCCTAGTATGGCACTTTAGGATAATCACTGGACTGGTAACCCCAAGTTCGGCAGTTCAAACCCACCTGCCACTGCTCAGAAACCCTACATGGAGTCACTATGAGTTGAAACCAACTCAATGACACTTAACAACAACAAAAACAAAGTATATTTTATGTTGCGTTGCAAGCCCTTCATTTCAGTCTAACCAAAAGAAGGCAAGTTCCTTTTAGCTACCTTTAAAAGTATGTTTGATGTTTATACATGCTACAGTAAACAGTGGGTAGGATTATCTAATGGAATGTTCAAATATAGTATGATTAATTACATCTAGAATGTTGTTGCTGTTAAGTGCTGTTGAGTCGGTCCAACTCATAGTGACCCTGTATAGGGTTTCCAATCAGTGCCTGATGAGGTATAAGAATGACCATTTTTACTGTTTCATAACAAATTCTTTGTAAACTTTCACCCAGATGTGTAAAAAACAATTTTTTTTTAAAAGGAAAAGAAAATCATAGCTAGAATGCTCATTTCCTGAAATATAGTGGGATTAATTCTTGCTTAAATTTCAAAGGACTATAAAAACAATCAGCTGTTTCTAATTTTGTGGTTAAAGCTCTCAAAAACAATTAGAACAGATCGTTTCATATACAATTCATATGTAGAAGACATTATGCTAAGTGCTATACATCTAAATCTAAGTAGCTAAAAATGATTTGTATCTGAAGTGAAAAAAAAAGTTCCCTAAGCTTAGGAGTCCTGAGGTCGAGTTGAGCTGCAAGGTGGGCAGTTCAAGGTCACCAGCTGCTCCCTGGAAACTCTACACAGGGTTACCATGAGTTGGAAACAACTTGACGGCACCTAACACCAAAGCTTAGGAGTTCTGGTGTGGTGCTGGAGGATAAGCCTTGGACTGCTAACTGCAAGATCGAGGTTCAAACCCACCAGCCACACCTCAGAAGCCCCTATACAGGGTTGCTGAGTCAGATACGCCTTGAAAGCACTTGTAAACTTTCTCAGGAGCCCTGGCATGGTACTGTAGAATAAGCACTGGACTGCAAACTGCAAGGTCGGTGGTTCAAACTCACCAGATGCTCTTGGAAATCCTGTTGTTGATGTTAAGTGCCACCGAGTCAGTTCCTACTCGAGTTGTTTAATAGATGGAACGGACTAGACACCAACAAGCAGCTTTCTTAGAATTGTGATGTGGAATTATGGGGTAGGCACTGGACTGCTAACCACACGATCGGCAGCTCAAACCCACCAGCTGCTCTTGGAAACCCTCTACAGGGCCGCTATAAGATGGAACTGACGGGACAGCACACAACGATGACAGCTTCTCTTAAGGTGCATTTCCTAAGCTTTAAAAAGTCCATCTTTCACTGCAAGTCTTTCCCTAATCTCATTTCTGACTAATAGGCATAAAGAATAATACCTAACACTTGCTTGTCTACTGTGCTGTAAGCATGAGTAAGTGTTATTAAATTATAGTGAGATACCATAATGTCTTCATATTAGCTTTCACAGAACACATTTTGTATTCCTTTAATTATAGCTTTAATTTCATATTTAAGAAAATAATTCTTCTAAATATAGCGTAGTGGTTATGAATCGGGCTGCGAACCTTAAGGTCAGCGGTTCGAAACTACCAGCTGCTCTGTGGGAGAAAGATGAGGCTTTCTACTCCCGTAAGTAAAGATTTACACCCTCGGAAACCCTGTACAGGGTCGCTATGGGTCGGAACCGACTTGATGGCACATAACAACATAACAATATATATATATATACATATCAGGATTGGGAGGAAACAGTAAAATATTCCTATGAATTTAATTACTTGTGATGAATTATTCAACTTTTTTCCCTGTTTAACATTTTTTTTCTCCCTTTCTGGCAACTTCAAGTGCCAATGTGTCTACTCCTCAATGAGTTTAACAGTATCTTACTTGGTTAAAGCTGTATTTTAAAAAAATGTCATCTCAAATTCTTTATGGAAACAGGATAAATAATAATACATACATACATGCATTACCCTAGTCAGTTCTAAAATATTTCAGAAATAAGTTGAATGAGATAAAAATCTCCATCCCAGAACAGAACTATATTCTTTCTGCTAAAAGATAGTTCTCAAGCCAACTGATTGAGAAGACTCATAAAGGACTCTTAGTTATCATCTGGCCCAAAACCTTCATCTTGCAATAATATTAATAACATAGGAAAGGCAAGCCTAGAAAAAGAAAATTGTCTTGAATAAGGAGGAAAGCTGATAGAAAAAAGGGACTAGTAATTGTTATTTGGTGACTACTACCTTTTAACGCAATTAGTCTAGAAAAATCAAAGAATATCGTAATTGCAAAATAAGGCAGTACCACTATCTTCCCAGACTTCAACAAATGAACTCTGGGGAAAAAATAGAAGCATGCATTCAGAGAAGTAAAAAAAAAAAAACACACACCAAAAAACCTGACCAACTCTTAGCCTCTCAAATCTCAGAAAAGTTTCAATTCTGTATTTCATTTTTAAGGATGACTTTAGAGTACAATCAATTAGCTTTAAAAATAGCATAATCCAGTAGTAATTAGCTTTTGCCAAGTACTTGAGATGTGACTTGCTTAGAAATAGTGATTTAATCAGAATCACCTTTACTCCATAGTTCAGTATATAAAATAGCCTCCAACCAGGCTTTAAGTCGTGTAAGATAAAGGAACTAGTATTAACATATGTGAATATATGAACAAACCTAAGCTTCTTAGGTTCAAATAAGTTTAGAATAAAGATACTGATTTTCTTCTGTGATAATAAAGGGATAAATATGAAGTAAACTGAAAAACTATGCAAGATCACTCATAGGTTATGCAAATAATAATGGACTGTTATTATTCATTCTCTAGAACAAAACACCAACCAAAAAGGTTTTTCCTGTCTGCTTTAGTTCTCCAAGATTACAAAATTAATTTAACACTGTTGCCTTTTCTGAAATTTGGGAATGTACCTACTCAGAACCTACACAAAAGTTTTCAAGAATGAAAGCTGGTGAACAGACCAATAATTTTTAAGTATGCACTAGCATCACACTGTGGCTTTGTAGGATAAGCACAGAACTTCAAACTGCAAGGTTGGCAGTTTCAACCCTCAGCTACTCCATGGGAGAAGTATAAGGCTTCTTACTCCTGCAAAGATTTTAAAAAGCCTAGGAAACCCTGTACGTACAGGGTCGCTATGAGTCCGCTATGAACTGACTCCACAGTACATCACCATCACCACCACCAACAGCATAGTGCTGTAGGATAAGCATTGGACTGTTATCACAATGTAAGTACCCACCAGTCACTCTTGGAAACCCTATACAGCAGAGGGGAACCTTTCTTTTGACAAAATTTATAACATCATTGTGGGCCACACAAAATTATCAACTTAAAAATTAGCCTGTTATATGTGGTCAAACATTTAATCATTTAATGAACTCACCCCTAATGTGATGACTCAATGGCACTAAACAACAACAACAATATGATGGCTAGAGCTGCAGTTGCCTGGGCAGGGCCAGACCAAATGATTTTGCAGGCCTTATTTGAAAGTGCCATGGACTGCCAAAAGAACCAATAGATCTGTTTTGGAAGAAGTGCAGCCAGAGTGCTCCTTGGAGGCCAGGATGGCTATGCTTC